CACTCAAGAACTGATGCCCAACTGATAATGGGTGAGAAAAAGAAAGCGAAAATGTTGGGAACGGTCTCACAAAATGGCCAGGATCAGCCCTAAAAACACTCAAAATTTCACTAGCGAACTACATATTCAATCACAATGCATCAGTGACTTATCAAAATGTGTCTATTATTTTGCAGAGATTCGCGTGAACGATCGAAGTGGTTCCACATACAGGTTTTCGAGTGTTTGTCTGTTGAAAAACGTCGAATGATGTGCTATTTGCGGTTGCGTTTATGCTGCGTGTTGCCAGTTCAGCGGCAGTGGAACGTTTTCGTGACTCATACGATGATCGGCGCCTCGATGAGGCTTGATTACCATCATCGAATGTCTCGAAAACGATCGCTCTCGGTGGCTCACGTGAAGCAGCTGTCACAACATCGGCGTTCGGAGCCATGAATCTGCAAACGTATGAATTGCATTGTCGAGCCACGGATGGCTCCAGTCTGATTTTATTGCTCTTTCTCTGATCATTATTGCGACTATTTCGTATTGTCAAGCAAACTATATATGCATGTTTCTACAACGGCAGACTTAGATAACCGTTTGAAATGTGGTTATGCTGAGCTCTATAATAAATACTTGTGATGATTTCGCTGACTGATTCTGTAGATTTACAGAAGAAAACTGCAATGGCTTAATGTTGCACTAACAGTGATTCCGTAGACGGCTTCCTGTGCGATGTGTAAGGCGATCGCATAAAGATAATGAAAACGTCATAAATTTTTTGAAAAATGAGCCGACTGCCACCATGGCAACGTTGTTCTTATTGTTAGATTACGCAACACTGTGAGTGCGCATAATGGGGTTTGAGCATCGGTGTTGTAAGTAAAATAGGATTAGCTGAGGTTGTGATTTTAGTTGATGACTAACCCGAGAACAAGAAGATTAATCGAGGCTGAAAAGAATGCCAAACCGCATAGCAAAAAGAGAAGCGTGAAGACGACATATCCAGGATTTTTCTGCAGTGAACCATCGGTTTGCAGTGGAACATAGTCGCCAAATCCAATCGTTGACACTAGTAGAAGATGGTTTTGAGTAAATGACAGTAGTAACAATGATAATAATAACTATGATGATAGTAATAATACCTATGAAG